AGATACACCCATCTTTATACCCATTTGTATCGTAAGTTCTGATTACCTCCCCTAGATAATTGAGTGTCTCACCATATTTAATTTTTGACCTGGCGTTTCTCTCCAGATCTAGTCCATCGCATTTCCTGTGGTAGGTGGTTAATAAATATTGGTTGAAAGAATGAAACCCTTGTGGGACAAGTAAGAAGCCTTGGCCTTGCTGAGTGAGGTGGGCATGAGTAAGAGGGGATAGAGCCCTGTAGAAAGGCTAAAGGTTTTGAGTTTTTATAAGGTAGAACTCGTCTCTTTTCCCTATTAGGCTGATGCGGTGACAAAATCAATGGGTGGAGGACATTTAAATGCAGAAATACTAACAGTGCAGCTGAAAGGCTTTTCAAAACTAAGCTTAGCATATTCACTTCTTCTCATGCATGTGGCCCATCTGTGGGCATATGGAAGAAGCTTGCTGGTTTTATTTAACTGTTGAAAATAGTGTGCTAGTTGCCTGTGCTGCAGCACTTGTTAATGAATTGCTACCTGGTAACGTAATTCACAAGCTCATTTTTCAAAATATTGAGATCTTTCATCCCATTTTCTTTAGGAGATTCTCAGTGGTTTGGAAGCACTAAAATATGAGTGCTTCTACTATTGTCTTTTCTCCATGGTTTACAGACGTGTTTTAAAATGACAGAATTGTTCTCTAATAGAGTATAGATAGCAGGCAGGATTTATAGAGCTTTGCAAGGTGGAAGAGAAAATTGGCATCAACGAGCATAAATTCCCAAGTAGTAAATTCCCACAAAGTAGTGCGGCATCAGGGTGCTTTAGCTGCATTTATATTCTATACACTCGGGGGCAAATGTGTTGTTTTTGTCTCTTTTTGTTCATGGGAATAAGAACGCATTTCTTTTGAGAGTTTTAATGTCAACATTTAAAAGTAGAGTTGCCCATCCCTCTTAAATGTGCATTTCTGCTTAACTTCACAGTTCAATTATTTTTCAAAAACATTTGTTTTTACTTTTATATTAACTAGTATAGTCTGATAAATCTCTTCTCTCACTTGTCCTTTTCTTTATCACGCGTTGGCTCTTTAACATTATTATCAGTTTTAAATAATGTTAATCAAGAATGAAAAGTCACAACGTACAACATAATTTGTGGTTGTGTCTTAATTGTAGCTTATCCCTTCGGTTTGGGTCCCTTGTTACCTAAAAGCAGAGTCTAATATTGAAAATTGCCTTTTTGAAATAAAAAGCCATTCTTTGGCCGTTTTATGAACAAACATAAACAGAATCAACCTTTTCTTTGGGGGGGCATAAAGAAAATTAAAATTTAAAATTTTTTTATATTCAAGTTCCTTGAGTAATTTGAAATCCCTCTAAGAGTTTGTAGCGTGGGTGAAGAAAATCTTTTAAAACTAGATAGTGATGCATAATTTCAGTTTTTAAGAGAATTTCTTTGGAAAAAAACTCTTTATTAATTTAGGTGACTGACTTAAGCATCTTAATCAAAAATCAGTGTTTTGCAGTGTTTCTGTAGCAAGCCACAGAAAGTTTGAAATACAAGTTTGACTTCTAGAAAATATGGTGTGATTTCTCACTTCAATAAGCTATAAGATTGGTGTATGCCATATTTAACCTTATCTGGTACTTACTACTTTCTTGTATGACTTTGTTCATTGTAAGTAGTCAGATGTTTCTTTCATTGAATTCAGTATAGCACTTACCATAGAATCATAGGTTTAGTGTTGGATGGGGCCGGAGAGATGTTTTAGTTCAATTTCCCCATTTTATAGAGGAGGAAACAGGCACAAAACATGCCTTGCCCATGTTCACCTAGCTAGTACCTTTCTCAGGCAGCATCATAAACTGCCTGCTATTATAGTTGTCTGTGCACAAACATATCTTTTCTTACCAGGAGCTATAGGCACCTATAGGCCAGGGACGACATCTTTCTATTTTTTGTTCCTTACAATACTTTGGGCATTAAGTGCTCGGTAAATATTCGTTTTGTACAAAATAAACTGCACGTAGTTGATGCTTAGGTGTGTCACGCCCTCCTCTCCATCTGGGAAATGTCTCCTCCAGAAATCCCTTCTCCTGTGACGCGCTGAGAAGGGAGCAAGAAGGAAAGTTACCCCAAGGCTTCTGCACTTTCAAGTTTGGTTTGGGCATCACCAGCCCTAACTTCCCCAAGTATTTCATTTGAGATTCTTGCATTTTAAAGGTGAAAAGCTGTGACACTGTGGGCTTCGTTGGGAAGCATCATGAGTGTGCTCAGGGCGTCAGATGCTTTCTCTGCTTATTTCAGACAAGGTTTCTGCAATTGCAAACTCCCCCGCGCGCACGCGCACATGTGGCTGCTCGAGTGGCGTCCAGCGGCAGGTTATTATGGGGACTGACAGCCCGTCATCACTCTGATGGCTCGAGCGGTCTATCTGGTGAGCGGCAGCAGAGCTCTTATGCAGAGAGCATCATATGTTCCCAGCCAATTTACAGGGAAACAGCAATAACATTTTATCATGGTTGAGAGCCCAGTAGCGGCTTCCTATTAAACTTGCCCTTTCAGATACCTGTCTTGGATTAATTTGTTGATTTCAAATGGAAACTCAGTCTTCTCCAGTGAAGCATGACGTTCTAGGAGACTCTCACTGAATGACAATTACTGTATATTCTGGCTGGTTTCAGACCATTACAAGCCGAGTGCGGGCCCAGTGGAAGACAGAGGACTTGAGTAACTGATTTTAATATCATGTCTAGTTTTAACTGTCAGTTCTATATGTGCCATTGGATGAATCCTCAGAAAGATGAAATGCAAAACGCTTCTAACTTGTGCTTCTTAATGATGTGCTTGCTCTAATGAAGGGGGAAAACAGGAGGAGGGGCGCTTTTCTGAAGGGGATCGAAGTGAAGAGCATCAGAGTTTAGAAAGTGGAGGCTTAAAATTACTGCCAAAATCACTCTTAATTCCCTCCTCCCCAAGAATGCTTCTGAGTAACAAAATTCTTTGTTTACCAAAAAGCATTTTTGAATTTCCTATCATCTGTTTGCTCAAAGAATTTTGTAGATCAGGTTCTACTTAGAATAAGATGCTTTGCCTTCTTAGTGGGGGGTTGGATATGGGGAGCATTTCTTCCAAAGAGCATGAATTTCCGTTTAGTGCTTAGCACCTACTCAACCTTACCTGTGATGTTATAAAGAGGAGTAGCAACATGCTAAAGTAGTTAAAAAAGAATTTTGGACTAGGAAGCTCCCTAATTTTAGCCCAAGTGGTAGGAGACAGACAACTCTTTAGATCTTAAATGTCCCTGAATTAAGAGCAACATTAAATTAGGATTATTTGTACTTAGAAAATATTTATTTGCAGTTAAAGCAAATTAGCTAATCAGCAGTCTGTATTTTTGCATTTAGTCCCCTAGCAATGTTTATTTCGTTTGACTAAGTAGCTTGATGTTGGTTAAAAATATAGCTATAGCACACTACGCACATTTGTATAATGTACACCCCTTCACATCTCTTAGAATGTCTTATAAAAGCAAAGCTAGTTCAGAAAAGATGAAAAATGGTGGGAATTCTTTGTGTCTGCAAATGAATTCAGATTAAGATTAGTCTAACTTAATCCATTACATTTATTACACTCCTCTTTAAGATATTTAAACATTCAGCATAATCTCCTATCTTAACACAGATCTTTATGTATAACTTTGGATATATCAGGAGTCAAATCATGTTTCCTTGAATACATACAAAGTGTGAGGTAACAGTCATTAACCTCTACCAGATATGTTAATGGATTCCCAGGACCAGTATAGCAAAAGGTTTTGCTGAAGTTAATATTTAATCAAATATTAGTTTGATTGTCAGTTTTAATAATCATTTTCTTTTTAAAAAACTCACCTCTGCTTTCACACAAAGTACAATGTACAAAATAAATATACTTACATTTTTGTTTTGATCTACCTTTGTGTAATAAAGTATATTGTTTCTGTTCTTAGAAGAGGTTGGTTCTGAGACCAGAATACTTCATAGTAATTTTTTTGTAACAACTCTATATTAAAGAAATGGATAAGTCATCTGTAGAAAATGTTATTTGAAACTTGAATGAATGATACTTAACAAAAATATGTTCCCCCAACCGGGTAAAAATACTTAGCCCTGAAACAATGCCGTATTTTGATTCTATTTTCTTTAAACTCCACATGGAGCAGCCATTTACACCGTCAGCCCAGCGTTGGGACAAATGATGTTTCTGCTCGGACAAGCTTTGTTTTATCAGGATCAGTGACCTCATCAGCAGTTGACCCAGAACTATAATGCATGTCTCTGAATAGATAGCATATGTCACAACTCTGTGCAGACTTGCTTCATAAGCAAGATTTCTTAATGAAGATTTAATAAATAAATGGTTTTCAGCAATACACAACAGAAAATGTGTTCTTTTGCAAGATAATTTCTTTTAAGATTCTTTTACTGCTTGTGACACATCTCTTGCATTTATTCTCATGAAAACGAAAAGCATAAATACACATATAAATGCACCCACATGTATACTCCCATGATGCATCATTTATTTGCCAATGTATCATTTTGAAATATTTTAGTCATGGGCAGGTTACGTGGAATTTAAACGTTATCTGGTCTTAGCGATGATAATTTTGTTTTAAGATTCTTATGAGGCACATAGATGTAGTGATGACCAAAAGACCAGAAAAGCCTATGCTTGCAGTAAGCAGGCAAGCTCACAGAAACACTGTTAGGCAGTATTTATTTTAAAAAGCAGGATGGGAAAAATGTTCTCATTAAATACAGAAGGTCCTACCTCTGAAATATTACTGCTTAGCAGCTAGCTCAAGTCACAGTAATTTAAGATAGGGTTCCTTACATCTAATATCAATACTCTTTTATTTTCTAAGACATATAATAAATGGGAGAGAAATGGCACCTTGTCGTCATATGTAAAACAAGTCACCCATGTCTTGCACATTTTGACATTTAACACTTCTTTTCTTTGACCTTTGACAGGTTGGGTCTTGACCCAAAACTGTTGGCTAAAATTCTAAATATGAGCTCAGGTCGTTGTTGGGCAAGTGATACTTACAATCCTGTACCAGGGGTAATGGATGGAGTACCTTCTGCTAATAATTACCAGGGTGGATTTGGAACAATGCTTATGGCCAAGGTACTGTATATTTGATAGAGATCTAATTTTTAAATCCCTTTTATCTTATTCTTGGAGTTTTTTTTTTTTCAACAAAATCTATCCCTATCCTTCATATACTTAAGCCACAAAATCACTTTTTATTTCAACCTTGGAAATTACCTTTCACCTCTTTACCAGGGATGAGTAAGAATTTATTCCAGATTGGTAGGAAAATGCTAGTAACTGTTTCCAACTTTACTGCTAATATACCTTAATAGAAGAGATTGACAAGGGTTTTTGTCTTATTTTGTGCTTGAGTTTGTTTTTAAAATAATCTAGTAAAATTTTGTGCAGTTTTATAAAACTCTGTGAACAGATCAGATGCACAGAATGAGATTAGTGAACATTGATTTTTAACATACAAAATTTCCAACTCCTCTATTGGCCTTATAAGTACACTTTAAAAGAAGAAAAGTCCTCCCAAACTAATAGAAGACCTCAAAATAAAACTCTCTTATTTATTAAGTATGGGGTAGTCTGTGAGGGGCTATACTACATACTTTTTTGCACATGAAAAATTGTATTAAAGACATTCTTTCTTTGGGGAACACCTGTCCTTTCAGCTTGGAATTCACTTTGCCAGAAGCCATCACTTAGGCCTCTCTGCACTTAACATGTTATAAGCATGTTTCCTAGTCTCAGTCCTAAAAGAATATTCTTTATTTTGCTGTCATGGGCAGGATTGCTTGTCTAGCCCTAGTTTGCATCACCCCCATACAAGACCAAGTCATCTCCTGTGAAAAAAAGGAATGTCTGCAGGCACAAAGTAATGGCCATGTGCTGTGCATTTATAGCAGCTGGCTTGGGACTCGTAGTGTCTGGGAGCTCTGTTAGAGAAATGCTGCCAGAGACTGAAACCAAGAGAGAAGCTAAGAAATGGAGTGTAGTCTGAGCTTAGAGCCAGGATGAACTGGGTGCACATTCTGCTGGAGAGACTTTCTGTAGGTGTGACCTTTTGGAAGTCACCTCCCTTCCTCTCCTCTGTAAAATGAAGGGCTTGGCCTCAGTGGCCTTTGTGAGGGACCAGGTACCTCCTTCTCTTCACTGTAGCCTCTGTCAGGATTGTTCTCTAGAGTGTCTAAGAAGCATCCGCCCAGTAGTCACTGCCTCTTTTAAAGCTTCTCTGAAGTTTTCTCTACAAGTTCCTATTTCAAGAATGGAAGTTTGGGGTGGGGAGAGAAGGAAGTGGAACAGGGATGGTCCCCTCACTCAGGAGGGCAAGAAAGACGACAGCAGCATCCCACAGAGTTCCAATGGAGTCATTTTTGGTACTCTGCCTTTTGCAGTATGGAGGCAAATAGGTTGCACAAATCTATGTCTTTTCTTTTTAGAAATCACAGTATTGGTATGTTCATTGAGTGCTAGCCCATATTCTGAAATGCAGATCATTACTGCCTACTACTAGGTATTTGGATGTAATAAGGGCATAATAAATGTTGATATTCAATCAGTTCCTTTAGGATGAAGAGTGCCTTCAATTTTATTTGGAATTAAAATGCTTAGAGAGGGACCTTTTCTCCCTGTCCTCTCTTTATCATGACAGGAGATGGTTTAGCAAGGGTACTTCATAGCTAATTGGATTTGTATTTGTGTGGAGAGTTTAGGGAAGTCCTTGTTAGTACCACACAGACTGAAGTTAAAGTGTCCTCTTAAGCAAATTAAGAATTTCCCTTCTCCAAGAAAATGTGTTAAGCTTCCGATTAGCTAGTTGACCAATTGCCCTTTGCCTGAGCAGAGTAGACATTTGTTCTTTAGTTTAATACGAGTTTAGTACTTTTAAATTCTCCCCTAATCAATATAGTTGCCTTTTTCTGGACCTTCTTTAACTCTGGTCCAGTTTCCTGGAGTACAATGACTAGAACTGCAGGAAGTATTCCATTTGTAGTTTACTAGAGGCACGTTTGTTTGCATTATTCTCCTTCATGGTATCCAATATTGTGTAAATGTTTTTAACTACACAAGAGAGAAAAAAACACGATTGGGTATACAGCTAAAAACTACAAAAAGCAACAGATCAGAAACCTCAGCTAAAACACCTAAATGCAAATTCTGAATGTCAAAGAAGAAATCAATAAAATTGAAAGCAAAAAACCATTAAATCAATAAATAAAACTAAGAGCTAGTTAAAAAAAAAAAAAGCTAACAAGGTAGACAAACTCTAAGCTAATTTTATCTTTAACCCCCCCACCAAAAAGCCAGATTGCCAAAATTAAAAGAGAAAAGGAAGAATTCACGGTAAATAAAGAAGTGAAGAAAATTATTAGAAACTGTTTTGCTCAATTACATGCCAACAAAACTGATAAATTAAGGTAAATAGATGAATATTTCTAAAAATGTAAACTACCTGGATTGAATAAGTCAGAAAATAGAGAATTTAAATAACATAATCTCAGAAAAATAAATTGAATAAGCCACAACTAAGTTCCCAAAGAGGAAGAAAACCAGGAATAGATGGATTTAGTAGTGAATTCTAAAAACATTCAAAAGAAGAATTCACTCCATTATTATATAAGTTGTTTGCAAAAATAGGGAAAGAAAGCATTCTCTCAGACTCCTTCCATGAGGCAAATATGGTCCTCATTCCTAAGCCAGGAAGAGATAAAGCAAAGAAAACTGTAGATCAATAATTCTAATGAATAGTGATGCAAAAGTGTTGAATATATTTTTGACAAGAGGCTTAAGCAACATATTAAAAATATAATACAGAATGCTTAGATTGGATTTATACCAAGATTCAGTTTTAGGAAAAATAGAAACAAAAGATTCTATATTAATAACAAAACCAATAAACACACTGCTTATTTGTAGTTAAAAAAAATGAAAACAATAGGGATAAATTGACTTTTCTTTAATAAGGTAAATAATACCTATTTCAAACCAGGAAGTAACTTTTTCTGTAATGAAGATCAGAGTTAAAGCAATATACAATACAATACAATACAGTGCATATTTATTAAGCACTTTCTGTGTGCCAGGCAATGTGCTAAAGACTGGAGATGCAAATAAGAAAAAGAAAGACAATTCCTGCTCTCAAGGCACTTAAAATCTAATGGGGTAAACCATACACAAACGGAAGGTGAAAGGGGAGTGGCCAAGGGTGTAGTGAACCTCCCTATGATGGTAAGCAGTTTGATATAGGTTATATGTGTGCAGTCATGTAAAGCATATTTCCATAGTATGCTTTTGATCTGCATTCAGACTCCATAGTTCTTTCTCTGGATGTGGATAGCATTTTCCATCATGAGTCTTTTGGACTTATCTTGGATTATTGTATTACTGAAAAGAACTAAGTCAATCATAGTTGATCATTGCAGTGTTATTGATTCTGTGTACAGTGTTCTGGTTCTGCATACTTCACTTTGCATCAGTGCATGTAAGTCTTTCCAGATTTTCTGAAGTCTGCCTGCTCATCATTTCTTATAGCACAATAGTATTCCATTACATTCATATACCACATCTTGTTCAGCCACCAATTGATGGGCTTGCCCTCAATTTCCAATTCTCTGCCACCACAAAGAGAGCTTTTATAAACATTTTTGTACATGGAAGTCCTTTTCTCTTTTTTATGATCTCTTTGGGATATAGACCTAGAAATGGTATTACAAAATTACAGTTTGATTGCCCTTTGGGTGTGGTTCCAAATTGCTTTCCAGAATGGTTGGATTAGTTCACAGCTCCACCAGCAATGCATTAGTGTCCCAATTTTCCCACATCTTTTCCAGTATTTATCATTTTCCTGTTTTGTCATATTAGCCAATCTGATAGGTGTGATGTGGTAGCTCAGAGTTGTTTTAATTTGCATTCTCTAATCAAAAGTGATTTAGAGCATTTTTTCATGTGACTATAGATAGTTTTGATTTCTTTATCTGGAAACTGCCTGTTCGTATCCTTTGACCATTTATCAACTGGGGAATGACTTTTATTCTTATAAATTTGACTCAGCTCCCTGTGTATTTTAGAAATGAGGCCTTCATCAAAGACACTTGCTGTAAAAATTGTTTCCCAACTTTCTGTTTCTGGAAAGCAATTGTTAATTATGTCCCAAAAGTTACTAAACTGTGCATACCCTTTGACCCAGCAATACCACTAGTAGGCCTTTATACCCCATTAAGTTCAAACTAAGATTTAAAAGGATCCATCTTTATAAAAATATCTAAACAGCTCTTTTTGTTATAAACTGAAAACTAACAGTATTCCCATTGGTTGGGGAATGGCTGAATACATTGTGATATATAGAGTTGAATGTTTATTAACAACAACATTATAAAGACAAACATCTTTGAAACAGTTAAGAACTGTGATCAGTGCCATGACTAACCATGGTTCCACAGGACTGATGATAATGCATGCTGCACACCTCCTACTGAGAGAAATGATGGACTCATGATACAGAGTAAGACAGACGTTTTCAGATATGACTAATGAGAGAATTTTTTTTTGCTTGACTGTGCAAATTTGTTTTTTTTCTTTTATTTTACTGCGGATGAGATGAGAGGGAGAAGGGGGATATGAATAGGGTTGCCCAAAAAAAAGAAAGAAAATTTAGTCGTGGGGGCATTTTTTTAACGTACAGAAGGAAGGCCAGAAGACATCATAGAGACACAGGGCAACTTTGAAAGTTACATGTTGAATTTAAAAGAAAGGCATGCTGTACATCACAGGAGTTTGCAGTTTCACATACAGTCTTCTTTTTCTATTCAACTCTATATGGAAATTCTAATTTTATTTGGCATTTTAAGTTAAGAATATTAAAATTTTTTAAAGTATACAGTTCCCTAACTAAGGAGAAGCTATCAAAAACCGTATCTAAGAACTAATTCAAGTCAATAATAACAAGAAGAAAAATGCAAATTAAAGCAACTCTGAGGTTCCAACTCACCCCCATAAATAAGATTGGCAAAGTTAGCCCCAAAAAGGGAGATAGGGATGAGGAAAATAAAAGTTGTTAGAAAGTCTGCAGGAAGATGGACACATGAATGTAAGATGGGAGAAAAGCAGTCTAGAACTAGATTCCAAATGCCACTTCGTGTGTGTACCCCTTGACCCTGAAATATTGATATGAACCCTATACCCCTTCCCCCCTCCCCAAGACCAAAGAGAGATAGAAAGAACCCATGTGTGCAGAGACATTTCTAGTAACACTTTCTGTCATATCAGAGAATTGGGAGCAAAGTGGGTACCCACCAGTGGGGGATGATGGGGTGAGTGGACAAATTATGGCGTCTGACTGTAATGAAGTATGTTTATATCCTAAGAAATTGTGAAAGGGATAGACTCAGAGAGACCTAGGAAGATTTGTATGAACTGATGCAGAGTGAAGTGAGTAAAACCAGAACAGTTTATTCAATGGCTACAGCATTGTAAAGGAAAATAATGTGACGGAGTTCTACTCAATGCAGTCACCAGTCATGACTCCTGAAGACCAGTGATGAATCCTGTTTTCTGGCCCTTGGCCTGTATGTTCTCAGACGTGGCCACTGTGTAAATGTAGTTTCTTGACTTAACTTATTTCTTAAAGAGAATACTTTTCTTTGCGGGATGGTAATGATGGTGACTTTAAAAAAGGAAGGTAGAAAGAAAAATGCATCAGTGGAACGTTTTAAAAATCCACAGAGGAGCAGGAGTTTCAAAAGGAACACAGTCGAGCAGGGCAGTGTGGGTACTGACGTGTTAAATGGAATATGTACTTGAAAAAAACCCGTACACAATCCAACTCATGGTTTCAGCTTCAGTCCTCTTTTTCTCTTGTATGCTAATGTGTGCTAACCTGTTTGTTCATCTTTCTTAAGTTCGTAATTCTTTTAAAAATATGCCACCATATAACATTTCATTTGTTATACTCACCATAGGAAGTATCAACATACTTTTTTTTTAATTTTGGGGAAAATTTAAAAGAGGTAAAAGTAAGGAAGTTCAGTTTTGTTTTATACCATCTTACAGCAGTTTGAGGTAAAATACTTTCCAAGCCAAACATTATCGCGTAAATGGTGTAGTTTGGGTCCTGGATGACCCACAGACCCTTTGCTAACCTGACTGTTCTCCTTCTCTCCCCTTGTCTTTGCCGTTTGGTTTCAGGATCTGGGTTTGGCTCAGGAGTCTGCTACCAGCACCAAAAGCCCGGTCTTTCTCGGGGGCCTGTCGCACCAGATCTATAGGATGATGTGTGCCAAGGGCTATGCCCAGAAAGACTTCTCCTCGGTCTTCCAGTTTCTCCGGGAGGAAGAGAGCTTGTGAGCTGGCTGTGGCAGCAGGCGCTGGCAGAGACCCAATGCTTTCTGGGAGCTTCTTTGTGGCTCACCCCAGGCGTAAGTGGGTCTGATCAAAGGTCACGAGTCATTGTCTTTCCTAGACCCATCTACTTTTGGTTGTCTAGGTCACAATGATCTACGTCTAGAAATGTTATTCATCCATTTTTTTAAAAAAAAAACTGCTTATTCTTTTTAGTTTATTTAGTAATCACATCTTAATTAAATACTTTCATACATCAGAGGCACACCAAAGCAATACTAAGCTTTAAAATTTTTTTTAATATTTTTGCCACCCCAAAGTATTATGTTGGGCAAATTCAGCTGAATCTTGGCTTACTTTAGCTAGGTTATTAGTCACTTCATTTTACCAATAAGCCAGCTCTCAATTAATTTTCACCAGAATAAAACCTTTCTTTGTGGGGAGAAGGAGGTACAGTTAGAGGGGACAGGGGCATACTGAAGAAGCATAAGGAGCAGCTTCCCTACCCTCACCCAGTAGGTTTGTCTTCTTTAAGCACATGGTTTCTGTAGGTTAATAAAGTTACTGATTTTTTTTTGTTCCAAGGAGTTGATAAAATTAGGTAAAAACTTGTTATTGTGTGTTTTACAATTTGGACTTGATTACATTATCTGTGTGTGTGTGTGTGTGTGTGTGTGTGTGTGTGTGTCCGTCCCTGTGTGTGTACCTGCCCTTCCAGTAAAGCCTCCATATACTGTGAACTGATTTGTAAACTTTTTGTTTCCTCAAGTATTTTTGGACATCAAAAGACTGGCATCTTTAGGGCCTACTCCTGGGTTAACAATGTATATTTGCTTTAGATGATTATTATGTTACTCTGAATAAACAAACCACATTATTTTGAATTCAAATAAATTTCTATGCTGATAATGCCTTTTTAGAGTTGTTTTTTCTTTATATTTACTGAGGGTGAATACCCCATCCACGAGTGGAGGTGCCAGCCCACCTCCCCTTCTCACTGGTGCCCTTCTTCCTGCTTGCTAGCTTGTGTGAATGCTCCATGGAGAGTCCCCCCCCATGAGGTGGAGGTGATCGCCTGGCTCGAGGGGTAGCTCTGGGATACCCGGGCAGCACTCCAGGTATCCAGGTGGTCCCCTGCTTGCTTCATCCCACCCCCTTCTCCGGCCATGCGGGTCCTCAATGCCTTTTATGCCCCTTCTCCGACACAGGTGGTACTTGATGACATGCTGGCCCCAGGCTCACAACCCGAGTGGGCTCTCCCGTTGCCTCTTTGGTCCTCTGAAATTTTTTTAGCAACCAGTTATTTTCTTTAAGAACAAACACACCAACCTGGTAGCTTTGTTATGGTCCCTGCCTCATGGGTCCTCTGAGGCAGTGAGAGAGAGGTGAAGTAGATCAGAAAAGGCCATTGTGAAGTGGGGCCCAGCATCTCACTGGCCTGCTTGAATCTTCCACCAGTGCTGAGCTTGAGGGTGTGAGGATCAGAGGGGGCCTAGGGCACTGGCCTTCCTCAGGAAGGCCACGGGAGCAGATATGCCTGCTGACAGTAGCTCTCTGCCTTCCTTTTTGCCCCACCCCCACCCCAGAATTTAATAGGCTCGCGTATCTTCGGTATGTAATCAAATTAATAAATACTCATATTCCGTTCAGTTGTCAGCTTGACCAGAGTGGTTTTCCTAAAGCACCAGTCCGACCATGTCACCCCCTAGGCAGTATACTCCAGTGACTCCTGTCACCACTAGGATGCTGTGTTTGGCATTCGAAGCCTCCATAACCAGCCCCTTCCTGCCTTGCCGCTCTCCTTTGACCTTTCTCCCTGACACGTAGTCTCTGATCTACTGACGCTGGCCTTCTGGCTGTTCCACTTCTCAGCTCTGTGCTTTCTGTGGCTGTCCCCTGTGCCTGGAACACTCTCCCACTTCAACTCCCTGGCTTCCTTGAAGTCCCAGCTAAAATCCCACTTTGTGTAGGAAGCTGCCTGCCCCCTCTCAATTCCAGTACCTCCCCTCTGTTAACTGCCTCCCATCCATTCTGTATGTAGTGTGCTTGGTATCCATTTCTTTGCATGTTGGCTGCCCCATTGGGTTGTAAGCTCTTTGAGGGCAGGGACTGTCTTTTGTCTCTTTTTTTATCCACACAATCCCTGGCACCTAGTAGGTGCTTAATAGATATTTATTAACTAACCTCAGGCAAGGCAGTCACCCTCTCTGCCCCTCAGTTTCTCACCTATGATAATAAAACGAGGGACCTGGACTGATTCCATGAGCAAGTCCCAGAACCATTATGTCAAGCGCTGTTGGTTGGGAGGTGGCACCGCAAGGCCTTGCCACCTGTCTCACAGTTGTGTGGAGTAGATGGAAACGGGGGCAGGCGGTGTGCAGGGCTCAGTGTATACCCAAAATACTTATTAAAATTGCATACTGGGATAATAGGGATAACTGGGATAATAGCAGCAGCGTCTTATATTGAGGATAACCGTGCTTAGCAAGTGCTCTGCACATAGTAGGCACTTAATACATGCCAGTTGACTCTTAAGGCAGCGTGGTTTGGTGAAAAGAACATTAGACTGGAAGTTGGAGGATCTGCATTCAAATTCCAGCGCTACAAATTGCTAGCATTGTGACTTTAAGCAAGTCGCTTTAACTTTCTAGGACTCAGTTTTCCCATCTGTTACATAAGGAGTTAGAAGAGATCTGGGTCCTTTCTTGAGTCCAGTGAGAAAATGCATGATGTAAAGGTGTGTCCTGGATTAGAGTCGTAGATAAATTTGGATTATTTTGTTAAGTTCTTTATCTCGTCTTCTCTTGCCTTTCTCTCTCCCTCCACGCTTGTTCAGGGCTGCACATAAAGTAAGCCCTTAATCACGGGGGCTGTCTGTCACTTCTTGAGAAGGGGGCACACTTTACTCCGAAGAGGGAAGTTCTTTTGAAGCCCTGGGGCAGCAAGCTGTGTGCTGGCCAAGGACATTTAGTAAATGTTCTGCTAGCCTGACAACACTGATGTACTTCCAAGGAGAGAGTGCTTTTCATCACCAGGAGCAGAATCTTCTTGAAATAGTGATTGAAATAGTGGATCAAAGCTTTTGTTTGATGGTCTAGTTATGGGTGATAATTTCATAATTATTTGTCTGCAAAGTCATCTGGGTTGGTTTTTAAACATTCTGCAATTCGTGATGTTCAATGAGTTCCTTCAGGTTTGACTCTCTTCTCTTCAAGGGTCAGATGCATGAATAGTTCCTGGCGGCCCTCGAGCTTTTGGGTTGTGAAGTTCTATGGAGCAGTTTGTGCTAAATCCCCTCCTGCTTCAAGAGTCCATGATTCATCTGTACTGAGATGGGTCACCTTTCTCATGCCTTGGAAGAGTCAGAGTCTTTGTGAGCTTCTGTGGCTAAGAAAAAACCCACCTGCTGATGAGGAGCCTCTCCGTACCTGGCTGGACCAGTCCTCCAGTGGCCCTGTGTAGAACTCGTGTAAGGGAAGGACTCTGCCAGGACTTTCACTTTCCTGGTGGGGCCTTCACCAATCAAGGATCATCGCCATGTCATTATGGGTTACTGAACAAGGACCACAGTGGGGGAAATACAAGACAGTAGCATGTCGTCTTTGATCGACAGGAAGTATTGGGGTTTCCGTTTGGTTTTCCCAGAAGTTATAGGATCAAGGTGACGTGATGTAGAAGGAAACACACTGGGCTTGGAATCAAGAAAGACTTAAATTCAAATTCCACCTGTGGCATTTACTGGTGGCATGACCCCCAGGCAAGTCCCTTAAGCTTGCTGAGTCTCAGTTCCCTCTATAAAAATGGGGATAGTGCTTCTTAATAGTAGCCCCCATGGTGGTTGTGAAGAAAATGCCCTTTGACCCCTCAAATGCTATATAAACATAGTTACTGTTATTACTCAAATGGCTGTGGGATCTCCTGGGTGTGGATATATTCTCCAACAATGAAGATCACGATCTGTTCATGTCTGCCCATCTTATGCAACTCTTGTCTATGTTCTTCCACAGAATCATTGCAAAACATCTACCTACCATACTGGGCGAATCCATTCCTTTGACCCAATATCACAAGGATACCAGTGGAGCACACAAGCTGCCCATTGGTTTTCTCTTGCTGTTACCCCATGACCAACCCATCCATTTCCAATCAGGTTTCTTTGATGACACCTAGTTTTGTTTATTAAAAGAATGTCAAGACTGACACAATTCAGATCCTCTAGTGGTAGGTTTCCTTTGTCTTAGGACAAGGATCTCACAGAGTACCAATGGTGGCTCAGGTTTGTGGATGGTCTGGAAATTCTATGATTCTTAGCATCCTCTGCCCCCTTTAATACCCCTCAATTACTGTCGCTACAAAAGTGGAGAAGGGAGATGCACACGCCCAAGAGCAATTTTCTATTTTTATTTGTTTCATGGTTTGCCATGGTCAAAGAATTCATCATATGACCAGTCTGCTGGTGATTCTTCTGTCCTGATTTAGGTTAATTTGTCTTTCCGAAGGACACTCAAGCTGTTGTATTCAAAGCCTTTCCAGCATGATAATAATTTGCTGGGGCTTCTGTTTTGCTGGCTTAGCCTTCCAGAAACAAGTCTTCACTCCATGAGGAAGTTTCAGATTAAGACTTAGTGGATAGACCACAGCCCTGCCGTAGAACAAAGGTCTTTCCTCTTCTGATGAGCCGTCATGGCTTTCTTATTAAAGTGATTAAGTAATCATCCTTAGTGATCTCTTAGTAGGAGTTTTCCTCAACTGGGAAAATTGTTAGACTTTTAAATTGTTGCCCTAGTAAGCCAAGCTGTGCATATGAACTTGGTGTAACTTAACTTCACCATTTCAATGCATCTATCTCAACCTCATGAGGACTTTCTGCTGTGATACAGATTAAAAGCTAGCCATGCATTCTCCCCCGTATACAAGTCTCATCTGTGTTCTATGGAGCTACCACAGAGGAGCTACATCAGTTTACTACCTCAGTGTACCAGTGTACTGGTACAGTGTACCAGAAGATGTACAGAGATCATCTTCTGGGTATTTTTCATTTTGTGGGTTACAGTGATGTACACAGGTTGTCCTTGTCATCCACTCTTGCTCTGTGACTGATGTTCCTTGTCCTATGAGGTAGCTAGGTAGTTTAGTGGTTAGAATGTTAGAGCTGGAATCAAGAAGACCTGAGTTTATATCCTCCCTCAAACATTTATTAATTGTGTGACCCTGGGCAAGGCACTTAACCACTCCTTGCCTCAGTTTCCTCATCTGGTAAAATGGGGATAATGGTAGCATCTTCCTCCCAAGGTTGTTGTGAAGATCAAATGAGATAATGTTTGTAAAGTGCTTATCAAGTTATAAGGCTCTGTTTAAGTGTTAGCTGATATTGTACATTTGCTGGAAGGCCACTCTTATGCTCTCTTCCTTTGTGGTCATCTTTGCCTCGTTGAAGTCACTGAACACCAGTGAATAGTTTGATTTGCTTTGGAAGATCTTGTCAAGTTCTTCTCTACACCTTCCTCTTCTACAGAAGATGTTGGTGACTAAGTTATCTTAACTGTTACCTTTTTCTTTGCGCTCACCATGAGCACTGAAAGGTAAGATAACTCAGGGCCCATGAAATGTTTCTTGTTGTCTTGGAGGCCACAATGGAAGATTTCCTCCCTCCTTTATTTGCCTTTCCTCAGAGACTCAGTCACCAAAAATTTATTAAGTGTCTACTTAATGAGCACTTAATATATGGGCAGTTGGGTGCCCAACCTATTGAAGTAGGGGCTAGAATTGAACAATAATAAAAAGAAAGTGGCTGGGTTGCACAAGGTAGATTGTGCTTTGCTTCCACTGACCTCAAGAAGCTTATTCCCATAGAAACCCACTTATATTCTTCAGGTGGTGCCCCACGACTGAAGCATTTGGAACCATAATTTC